CCTTCAATTCCTGCAAGAACGTGCTAGACTTTCGTCTTTCTATCGTTGCAATTGACAGTCAACATTTGCAAAAAAAAGTTGTGTTTCGATGAATCTTTTGTTTCATAATTGTCGAGCTTACTTCCATTTTAAGTGTTTAGTGAAGAAAGAAGACGACGGCGGATTCCTCTTGACCAGCTGTCGTTTGGCTTTACTGGAGCACTCTTGTTAACACTGTCTCCGAGGCAATCTCCTTCGATTCCGGTGAAGGCGTGCCAAGTTTTTAATATGACGAACATTATCCGAGCAAGGTATCATCATTCTCACAACTAAATTAAAGCTAACGAGTCAAGAAAACTCGTCATATGACGAACGAAGGAGATCACCTCGGAAACAGCGTCAACAAGAGTGCTCCAGTAAAGCCAAACGACAGTTTGTCAAGAGGAATCCGCCGTCGTCTTCTGGTTGGATCGACTTTCGCATCTCTTCACCAAACACTTTCACTCCAAAATGGAAGTACGCTCTACATTTACATTTCATTTCGTATTATTCTCTTGCCGGTAGGCACCAATTTGCAAATACCTTCCATTCGCCTCATCAAATGAACCGTAAGGTATGCCAACGTGAAATTATTTTTTTTTGGTTTGATGGTTTAAAAAGTAGACAACCCTGCTTCGTCTGTCGTGATAGTCAAGTTACTTTACTCAATTTCCCCCGTCTTCCCATAATCAATGGCATTATGTGGGCTTACTATCCTCTGATTGTACCACCTTATCAACTCAAAGTGACAAGAACCCTTATTCTTTTAGGTATTTTCCTCATTTTCTCCATTCTCTCATATGATACCTCACGACTAACAAAAACGTTGCACTGCTTGGGCTCATTTCCCGTCCGGAGTGGTGATGGGCAAGCCAGACGCGATGGACCTGCAGCCGACTTTGGAGAATACCTTTCGGGCGACAAGAGAAAGCGGAAGGTGTGAAGGTGTGAATGTGTGAAGACCCAACTGTCAGACCTTGACAGCGTTCCTACTCGAAATGCACAATGTTCTACGTGTACGATGCCATCTCTGCTGGACTACTTCACTCTGCCTAATCGCTCATTCGTTCATTCAACAGTTGAACAAAAATAATGAGAAAAATTTGGCCCATGTCTGACAGTCGGTGTCCGATCGGGGATGGGTGAGATCGGCCCACGAATCGCTTCATCAAGCAGACTTTCGCACGAAACCCACGTCGCCCAAGTCCCGAGCGCACTACTCACAGTAGTGTGTAAAGCCGACTGCATCGAAATTGCGGCTTGGTCTCGGTGCCAGCGAGTCTGTCCACCTGAAACGCGTCAACGGAGCTGAAAGCTGAAAGCTGAAAGCTGACAGGTACGAGGCGACAGACACGGCTGAAAGTGGTTCAGAAGAAGCACATACCATGTCTGAGACGCCAACAGAATGTCGGTTCACCGAGTCCGGCACGACGCCGCCAGAAGCCGACCCAACACAGGTCAGCGCCTTCCAAGCAGCCCCTTCCAGCGAGGCAGCGTTGCCGACTGCCGTCGTCACCGTCGCCGTCGCCGTCGCCGTTGGCGTAGACGTCGCGGTTGACGTTGACGTTCGCGTCGACGTTGTGTGTGTCAGTGGCAGAGAAACGTCCGGCGGTTTGCCGGATCTGACGCCGCGACCTCCACGAAGGTCGGTGCCGACATTCGATGCCCCCGTCGGTGGTTTGAGACCTTCTCTGAAAACGGCCAGAGGCGGAGGCGCCAATCCGACAAAAGCGGACAGACCGTCGAGACAGGTTGCCGAGGCGCCTGTTCGAGGCTGAGGGCGGCCCTGACGACAGAGCTGAGGCATCCCCGCGTCCGAGATCTCCGCGATGAACACGGTCTCCTCTTCACCCCTCCTCTCCTCCTCATCAGCATCATCAACATCGTCATCATCAGCATCAGCGCCAGCATCATCAACATCCGCCGCCTGCTGCTCTTCTTTCTCCTCCGGCTCCTCTTTTTCGTCCATGCTCGCATCGGCGTGATCGCCTTCCGCCCCAACGGCCGTCTGCTGCCTCTCCAGACCGGCGTCGTCTTGGCAGTCGGGCCCAATCGGATGCGCCGGCCTGTCGATGCCTCCGGGATTCGAGGACAGCTCATCCCCGCTGCCGGTACAGCTCGAGTCGGTGATCTGACAGAGACGGGCGAGACGGGCGGGTGGACGAAGAAATGGCGGAAATGAGTTGCAGTCAACTGGCAAAAGTCTTCTGTTGTGTGAAAAGCCCCAAAAATATATACTTACCACCCTCCCCACCTTTGGTTATGTGAGCCGACTTCCAGTGCATCATATGCTTCAATTTCTCCCATAATCATATGAATTGGTCGTCTCGATGGCCTACTATACACAGACTTTCCAAATATCACATATAACTACTTATAAAATGAAAATAAGTAGTCTAGTCGATTGCTGTGGCAAATGCAACTTTGCCTCATCCGACCTGCCACCCAAGGGTTTCGAGACGGCCAGTAACTAGCAGATCATCCACACGGTGTGTATTCGTTAAAGTTTCCCACAATCAGTCGAGTTGACCACACGTTGCCACCTGAGTCTGCAGAATCTCACCT